TCTCTCTCTCTCTCTTTCTCTCTCTCATCTCCCTCTCTCTTCTTTTCTCCCTCTCTCTCTCCCTTTCTCTCTCTCTCTCTCTCTCTCTCTCTCTCTCTCTCTCTCTCTCTCTCTCATTCTCCAACTCCTTCCCCCTGTGTGCGTCTCACTCTGTGCTGTGTGTGAGCGTGCGCGCGCGCACGTGTGCGTATGTGTATGCTGACATAACCATACACAAGCTGAGATTTAGTTAAGCTTGACGTGCGGCGAAACGTATACATGTATATATATAAAATCTGACCACCACAAAACTCAACGGCAGACTTAGGACTACGATAATACAACAGCACCTGTCTTAGAGTAAAAGAATAATACGGTCGCTTTTAAGGACAAGCGGGCTAGCCCAGATTCCGGGGGTTTCCAGAAATCTTGCCCTACACCAAAAGTGGGTATTGCCCTACCAATAGGAGAAGTTTGGTTTAATTGGTGAGTATATTTATGGTTTGGTTATAAAGAAAACTCTCCGTGTCTTTTAAAGAAACTGAACAAGGGGCACAAACTTTACCTTCGATTGTCTAAAAACAGCATTTTTCGGGATAGCCCCCTTGCGCTTAAAAGCGACCATATTATATGAAAGACAAAAAAAAATATAATCGTTGAAGAAAGTGCAGGGAAAAGGCAGGATATGCATACACTGAGACAGATCTAGGCATGGGGTCAACGTCAAGGGTGGGCCCGCCATTTGGTCACTTGGGAGTTCTCAGAGAGCAAAAATAAAGTTTTTAAAAAATTAGTTTTAGAAAGAAGAGAGTTTTACGGCACTTGCAGCACAACAATGTCATAATAATATAATATAAGTGTCGGAGATTAGAAGAAGTGCTGCAGGAGACGAACAACAACAACAACAAAAGTAGGAAAGGAGATATAGTTTTAGTTTCACAAGCCTTTTACGGCACTTGCAACACAATAAGGTCATATAAGTGCAAAAAAATAGACATGTAACAAGAGAGTAACATACACAAAAAAGGGAGGAGGAGAGATAAGGACGATGTGTTTGATAGGAAAGAAGGAGCAAATCCGACCAGAGCACCCGCCAACCACCCACGAAAGGAGATAAGGACGATATGTTTGATAGAATAGGAAAGAAGAGCAAACCACACCAAATCAAAACATTTTATGGTTATAATAAATAAATACAGAAATCTATAGGAACAGTGGAAGAAGAGGATGTTAGATTTTTTTTTAATCTATTGGAACAGAGAAAGAAGAGATTGTTAGATCTTTAAAAAATATCTATAGGAACAGTGGAAGAAGAGGTTGTTAGATTTTTAAAAAACAAACTGATGCAGAAATAGATCAAGGATGAAAGCTGCAATGGGTGTGGGGGGTGGGGGGTGGAGAGAGAGAGA